ATATGATGTGGAGTCCAGTGTCTTTTAAGTATGGATTTTCCCCAGTACTATTCATTGAAAAGATGATTTTTTCTCCTTATCAAATGGTCTTAGTGCCCTTGACAAAAACTACTAGCTGATGAGTCCATAGCTGATGAGTTTCAGGAATTTCAAAATTCAGTTTTGTTCATCTGTCTGCCTTTATCTTAACACAACACTATTTTGATTATTTTGGCTTTGTAGTAAGTTGAGCACAAAACTGATGAGTCTTCCACCTTTTCCATTTTCAAGATTGTTTTGGCTACTTAAAGTCCCTTGCCAAATCTGAAATTTAGCATCAGGATGTCTATTTATTTAGTTTTCTTTGATTTCTTTCAGCAGTATTTTATAATTGTGTAAATTTATACTTCTTAGGCTAAATTTATTTCTATATTATTTTATTCTTCTAAATACATGAAATTTTCTTAATATTTTGGGGGCTCATGACAATAGACAGCTGGCTCCATTCCTCAGGGCTCAAGGTGGGACTGAACATCATGGTACAAGAGTGTGGTGAAGGGAAGTGGTTCCATCAGAAAGCAGAGAGAGATCTTCACTTGCCAGATACAACTGTGCACCCAAAGCTACACCCCCAGTGCCCCCACCTCCTCTAAGCCACACCCCCAGTGCTCCACCTCCCCCTAGCCACGCCTCACCTTCCTTCAGTCATCAAGTGATTAATTAAATGATTGGGTTAAGGCTGTCATAACTCAATTATTTCTTCTCTGAACTTTCTTACATTGTCTCACACGTGAGCTTTTGGGGGACACCTCACATCCAAACCATAACATCTAGTATTTACAAGAGCTTTAAAAAATCCCTTATTATTCTATGTATATTTTTTCCCATCATCTTCCTTTTCAGGCTTTCTGTGATCTGTCCCTTGTTTCAATTGTTGATCCTTGCCGCAGGCTGCTGAATCAATGCAATGATTTAGTTAAAAGCCACCCAGAAAGACACCCTAACCCTGGGAATGCTCCAGTAAGGCAAACCCAAGGCAAACCATTGTGCCAGTTCTTCCGGGAACTGCCAGACAAGTTGAAACCCACAATCACAATTGTTTAAAAATTTGTGTCACTCCCTCAGGCATTGGGAGTGCAGGTTGGTGCCCTTACAGCCTTATACTGACTTGGAGTGTGGGGAATGGTAGGCAGCACACAGCATTAGCTTTCTTAACTAATCCTTGCCTTAGTTTTTATACATTTTTTTAATAAGTTTCAGGGTTTTGTTTTGCAAAAGTTAATTCTGACAGTATTTAGTGGGAGCCCTGGACTTCCCTACTGTGATAATTACTTCTGATGTAGAAATTTTTAAGAATGATGAAACTGTTAACCAAAAGTCAGAAAACTAGAGGAGAGAAAATTGATTTATGAGTATAAAAGAGATTATTTTTATGTGGACATAGTACTGGGTTTGAGATACTAATATAACCTGTAGCTATCTAATGACAATTGGAATTCTGGTGCTTGAATTCCAGAAAGAGCTTAGAGCTGCAAATAGATCTAAGCATCTTCTACATAGAAGTTAAAATGAAAGTGTATAATTTCCTTGAAATAGAGGGGAGGCCAGGCATGTCATTTTGGAAAACACTTTTAACCCAGGAACAATCATTCACCTACTTATTCAGCAAACATTCACTTTGTTCCTACTACTAATGTGGGTACTACCAAGCATTGGAGATACAAAGGAATAAGATTTAGTTTTCTGTCCTTGAGAATTTCACTTTCATATAAAGGAAAACACACAAGTACATCATAATAGCAAGGTTTAGAGGAGCCCACACAGGCTATACAAGAATATTTAGGGGTAGGGTTGTAGCTCAGTGGTAGAGCATTTGACTAGCACGTGTGAGGCACTGGGTTTGATCCTCAGCACCACATAAAAATAAATTTAAAAAATAAAGGTTAAGAAAAAAAGAATGCTTTTTCCTTTAAAAATAAAAAAAGAATATGTAAGTAGTCAGGAGAGAGAACAGGATACTCAGGAAAGTTCAGAGAAAGAAAACATACTGGAGAGAGAGGTCTATGATCTTGGTTGCTGCATGAAGATATTGAGAAGACTGGGGACTCTAAAAGATTCAGATTTGGCAGTAAGGTGGTGGCACAATTTTCATGTTTTAATTGGGCAATTTTGATAGCATTGGCAGATATAAAGAATCAGATTCTCAAGAGTTTGTGAGCAGAAGTGACTTTATTTTGGAGTAGAAGATTCTAATATGTTTGTAGACTTAACAAAATTGAATGAGAGGGAAGCAAGGATGCCAAAGAGTTTCAAAAGAGGAATGATTGTATTTTGAACTCAAAAGGATCAAAGTTTAGGGACTTGGCTGAAGAAAATGAGTGAGGGTAATGAGAAAGTTTTGAGACAGTAGGAAGGAATTTTAGAAGTTTAAATATCTGCTAGTTTTGGGCTGGGGATATGGCTCAAGCGGTAGCGCACTCGCCTGGCATGCGTGCCGCCCTCATTCGATCCTCAGCACCACATACAAACAAAGATGTTGTGTCCGCCGAAAACTAAAAAAAAAATAAGTAAATAAATAAATTCTCTCTCTCTCTCTCAAAATAAATAAATAAATATCTGCTAGTTTTGAGCATTTAATAAGGTCCCTGGAATTATGTCTGTAACCAAAATTCCCTGCCCTTGTGGAGGTTACATGCGAATGGGTGGAGGGAGACAAAACAGTAAATAATACATCATTTTAAAATAAATATGAGATCGAGTTTGCTGGTTCTGGGAACTAAAAAAGCAAATGAGAAGATTACCCACCCAGACATCACTACAATTTTATATTGCATATTAAGTTCTAATTTAAGTTTTTCTTTTGTGTCTATACAGCTAATTATAAAATCCAGGTTAATGAGATTAGTATGAGTTTGGTGGAGCCTTTTTTATGCTTAGATTATAGCTATGAGAAAAAGTAATGTATATTAACATTTAAGAGGAAGTCTATTAATGTATGACAACTTTATAATTATGTGGTTACTTCCAGGTCTTTGACAGGAACCAAGATGAAAAGGTAAACAGTCACATAGCTGAGATTAAATCTGTGATTAGGAAAGGAGAATTAATTAATTAATTAATTAATTAATTTCATGACATTAGCGGAGTGCATTACATTCATAATTATCCATTCACAGCACTATTTTTTGTAACTCCATATATAAAGTATGTTCACACCAAATTATGTCATTATACATGAGCTCTTTTTTTTGCATTACAATTTTATTTATTTATTTATTTATATTAGCTACACATGACAGTACAATGATCTTGACAATTCATCCATTTGAATCAAATGGAGTATAATTTCTCATTTTTCTGATTGTACAGGTTGCAGAATCACATTGGTCATACAGTCACCTATATACATACAGCAATAATAATGTCTATTTTATTCTGCCGCTCTTCCTATCCCCCCTTCCCCTCCCTATCCCTCCCATTACTTCTCTCTACCCAATCTAATGTGACACACTTTTTTTTCTCCTCACAACATCATACATGTATTCTGTATAACGATGAGGGTCTCCTTCCATCTTCCGTGCAATTCCCCTTCTCCCTCCTTTTCCCTCCCACCTCTCTTCCCTATTTAGTGGTGATCTTCTTCTCATGCTCTTTCTCCCTATCCCATTTTGAGTCACCCCCCTTATATCAGAGAAGATATTCAGCATTTGTTTTTTAGGGATTGGCTAACTTCATCTAGCATAATCTGCTCTAATGCCATCCATTTCCCTGCAAATGCCATGATCTTGTTGTTTTTTTAGTGCTGAGTAATATTCCATTGTGTATAAATGCCACATTTTTTTTTTTTTTTATCCATTCATCTATTGAAGGGCATCTAGGTTGGTTCCACAGTCTAGCTATTGTGAATTGTGCTGCTATAAACATTGATGTGGCTGTGTTCCTGTAGTATGCTCTTTTTAGGTCTTTGGGTATATCCGAGAAGGGGAATAGCTGGGTCAAATGGTGGTTCCATTCCCAGCTTTCCCAGGAATCTCCATACTGCTTTCCAAATTGGCTGCACCAATTTGCAGTCCCACCAGCAGGGTATGAGTGTACCTTTTTCCTCCTGCATCCTCACCAGCACTTATTGTTGTTTGACTTCATAATGGCTGCCATTCTTATTGGAATGAGATGGTATCTTAGAGTAGTTTTAATTTGCATTTCTCTGATTGCTAGAGTTGGTGAGCATTTTTTCATGTATTTGTTGATTGATTGTATATCCTCTTCTGAGAAGTGTCTGTTCAGGTCCTTGGCCCATTTGTTGATTGGGTTTTTTGTTTTTTAACTTTTTCAGTTCTTTGTTTACTGTAGAGATTAAAGCTCTATCTGATGTTTGAGGGGTAAAGATTTGTTCCCAGGATGGAGGCTCCCTGTTCACCTCACATATTATTTCTCTTGCTGAGAAAAAACTTTTTAGTTTGAATTCATCCCATTTGTTGATTCTTGGTTTTAACTCTTATACTATAGGTGTCTTATTAAGGAATTTGGGGCCTGCCCCCACGTGATGAAGATTAGGGCCAACCATCTTCTGTTAGACGCAGAGTCTCTGGTTTGATTCCCAGCTCCTTGATCCATTTTGAGTTGATTTTTGGGCATGGTGAGAGAAAGGGATTCAATCATTTTATTGCATATGGATTTCCAGTTCTCCCAGCACCGTTTATTGAATATGCTATCCTTTCTCCAGTGCATAATTTTAGCACCTTTGTCTAATATAAGGTAGTTGTAATTTTGTGGATTTGTCTCTGTGTCCTCTATTCCATACCATTGGTCTACCAGCCTGTTTTGGTGCCAGGAAAGGAGAATTTTTATCTCATTTCCAAAAAGATGTTTATGCTACACAGACATTTGTTATCTACATGTAAAGGCTTAAAACTAAAAAACAAAACAAACTACATAGAATTGAGGATTATTTTTATATAATGAATAAATTGGTGTTTTTGGTAGTCACTTATATTCTTATTACCTTCTCTTCTTTTAAACAGGCATTGGAAAAGTGAAAAGAAAACCTAGTGTTCCAGATTCTGCATCTCCTGCTGATGATAGCTTTGTTGACCCAGGGGAACGTCTCTATGACCTCAGTATGCCTGCCTATGTGAAATTTAACTACATGGCTGAGAGAGAGGATGAATTATCATTGATAAAAGGGACGAAGGTGATCGTCATGGAGAAATGCAGTGATGGGTGGTGGCGGGGTAGCTACAATGGACAAATTGGATGGTTCCCTTCAAACTATGTAACTGAAGAAGGTGACAGTCCCTTGGGTGACCATGTGGGTTCTCTGTCAGAGAAATTAGCAGCAGTTGTCAATAACTTAAATAGTGGGCAAGTGTTGCATGTGGTACAGGCTCTTTACCCATTCAGCTCATCCAATGATGAAGAACTTAATTTTGAGAAAGGTGATGTAATGGATGTTATTGAAAAACCAGAAAATGACCCAGAATGGTGGAAATGCAGGAAGATCAATGGAATGGTTGGTCTGGTACCAAAAAACTATGTTACCATTATGCAGAATAATCCATTAACCTCAGGTTTGGAGCCATCACCTCCACAGTGTGATTACATTAGGCCTTCACTCACTGGAAAGTTTGCTGGCAATCCTTGGTATTATGGCAAAGTCACCAGGCATCAAGCAGAAATGGCATTAAATGAAAGAGGGCATGAAGGGGATTTCCTCATTCGTGATAGTGAATCTTCGGTAAGTTGATTTTCAAAGGTAAATGGAAACAGAGCTGTGGGTATTAAAATAAATAAATAAAGAGAATTTGTATGCTGGGACCTAAGCATAAATGTTCTGAAGGTAAAGTTGCTGTTTTTTCTAACTATATGTATCTTGAATAAAACATAGCTGTAGCAGTGATATTATACTGAATTTATTTGTCCTTGTCCAGTTGTGTTGATTTGGTGTTCCTGGAATGTGTTCTGTTGCATTAAACAGAAAAAGGAAGAAAATTAAACATTGACATCTTCATTTAAAGTAGAATAATGCAGTAGATAAAACCAGGAAAATATTTCTTAAATTGCTATCAGATGCAATATATTAGAAAATAATCACTGTAGTCTTTAAAACATAGAAATTCCCTAAATTTAAAAAATTGATATTTAAGTTTCTTCATATTGGTTGTTTGAAAATCAAAATACACTTTTATTTTATACTTTATAAATCTATTTTAGTGCTGGATGAGGTGGTACACACCTATAATCTCAATGGCTTGGGAGAGACTGAGGCAGGAGGATCAAAAGTTTGAGGCCAGCCTGAGCAACTTAGGAAGGCAGGCCTTGTTTCAAAGTTAAAAGATTGATAGAGCAGTTTCTTACCATGTGTGAGGTTCTGGGTTCAATTTCTAGTACAGTAAAACAAAAGCAAAAAAAAATTCTATTTTAACACTGTTAGAAATACATTTCCAATAAAAAGTAAATTATATTACAGTACTAGTAAAATGAAAAAACTATAAAACCATAAAAATTGAGGAAGAATATAGTTATTTGGTCTCTTTTGGGTATTGTCTTACATATTAAAATTTGATGACACTAATTTTCCTTAAAAATTACCTCTCTTTTCCTTTGGTAATTGATAGCACTACTCTTCCACTTAGCAAGTCATGATTAGTATTGACTTTGGTGAGCATAATTTATACAAAAAATGAAGGTATATTTATACAAAAGGTTGAAAGAGAAAAGAAAATTATTTGAACTTCCTTAGGGAAAGTTCCGGGAGATGGGGCTTGTACCTAACCCTTCAGAAGATTAGGTGGTTGATAGTAAGAGTAGTGGCCAGATGTCTGGTCTGGCCCACTGTTTGAAACTTTGGGAATAAAAAGAGGTTTCCAATGTTGATATAGATTTTTCAGAAGATTGTTTGGTTGGTTGGTGTTTGCTTTTGTTTTTAAACCTAACAACAAAACCCCACTAATTAAAAAAGAATGAACTTGAGTATAGAATACTATGTATTTCCTTGTGGGTAGAGCTAGATATAAGGCAAAATATACCATTATTTTGAGCAATATAATTTTTAAGGTTGAGGTCTTGAATAGGTATATTTTGTATAAGAATCCAGACTTCAAAATTTTCTTTTAAGATGATGAGACCTGCCAACATTGAATATTATTCTACAGGACAACAATCACAGATGACAAGTGTCTGCTTTAGATTGGCCTGTACACTGTCATTCTCTCTGTCCATCTACTTTTGACACCTGTTTACATTACTTTTTTGGCCCTTGTAGGCTTTTGAGTTTGTGACCTTCCATTAGACTTTAGACTGATTCTCACTCACTTTGTTTCTTTTATTTTTGAGACTTCAGAGTATTACCTCTTCGTCACCTACTATTAGCTACAAATCGAAAAGAGATGGGGTGGATGTATGAGATTTTTCTCCTGTATTCAGTAGACTGCCTGGAGAGAAGACAGTTATTGTGCCTCAGATATTAAACTAAAAGATTTACTGTAGTTGTTATGCTGTGGACACCAAGATGTTCAGAAACTCTTGATTGCATGGTTTTGAGTCCTCTTTTGTTAACTAAATGGGTGATATTGGGCAAGTTGGCTTTTCTGCCTCATTTTTCTCATCTGTAAAAAGAGTTTGTTTTAAGAAGTAAAAGAAATAATGTAAAATTTTGCATAATGCCTTGTACTTATTAAGCACTTGGAGTTTAGCAGTTTATTAGTTTAATATGAAAATGCAAATATATGGCTTTCAAAATGTTGACTATTATTTTTTTTTTTCTCTCTTTTAGCCAAATGATTTCTCAGTATCACTAAAAGCACAGGGGAAAAACAAGCATTTTAAAGTCCAACTAAAAGAGACTGTCTACTGCATTGGGCAGCGTAAATTCAGCACCATGGAAGAACTTGTAGAACATTACAAAAAGGCACCAATTTTTACAAGTGAACAAGGAGAAAAATTATATCTTGTCAAGCATTTATCATGATATTGCTGATCAAAATGACTGCTCTACAGCTTTAATTCATCATGTAATTGAAGACTGAGGAAGTGTCAGTCCAATCATGCTTGATTGGAAATTGCTGTTTCTAACTCTCGGAATTGACTATAATACATAAGTATTTTTATTATAACTCAGCCCATACATTATATACTACGTATGCAATGCATCTGCATAGAACAGTTCTTATCCTTGGTCTTCTATTTTACTTTTTCCTTCTTTGCTGTTTTTCTCTTTGCTTCTAATATTAAGGTTTTATATTTTGGAGGAAAAAAAGGAGTAATACAGATCAGAAGTCTTTATATGGAAGAATTTCTTTATTCCTATTACTGATTTCCTTGTAAAGGCACCCCATTAATTCTGCCATGGTTTCTCTTCATATAAAATTATATCTATATATGGCATATGCTCAAATAAATTTCTTGGAGAGTGTTAATCTTTTCTGTGACTAAATAGCAATAATAAATGGAAAATTAGAAATTATTTTCAGGTATGTATTTGTCACAAGCCATTGTAAATACCAAGTATGTTGTGTATGCCGTTATTTTTAACAGTTCATTCATTATCTTCACTGTACTATGAAACAGATGGGGCATGGGTTAGAAACATCTTAACATAATTTTTAATTACAACTGTTGAAACAAAAAAATCACTCGATTCTTAAGAATTTTCTTTGATTTTTTTTTTTTTCTTGTTACTCGAGAACAAAGCAGTCTCTGAGATACTGAGCTTTTAAAAATGTAAATGGCTGCTCTGTGTTACTTTCTTTTTCCTAGTGTTACTTTACCAAAGCATCTTGTATTAGAACATGTTATATTGATGCCCGTGTGAAAAAATTATGAACAAGTTTTGGGGAAATAGAAGACAATAAGATATGTAGGGCGTTTTGGTTTTCTTCCTCTCCAAACATACGTTGTAAGAGACAGTATTTCCTATTTTTACTTCCTTCTTTCAATGTCCACCCCATATCACCCCAATTCCATGCTTGGAATCAAATCCAGGGCCTTCTATACATGTTGGCAAGTGCTATACTACTAAGCTGCTCCCCAAGCACCTCCTCTTTTCAGCTTTGAGTTTTATTGACTGAGACACTAAATTTGATATAAACCTGAGGGGGGAAATGGAATGTGCTTATGGTTAGATAAAATTACATTATTTTTAAACTCTTTATTTTTGTTTAACAAGTTGTAGTTTAGGTGAATGGATGACAGGCTTCTGTAAAGTTTTTTGTTTTTGTTTTTTAATATTTTTTAGTTGTTGACGAACCTTTATTTTATATATTTGTATGCGGTGCTGAGAATCGAACCCAGTGCCTTGTGCATGTTAGGCAAGGGCGCTACCACTGAGCCACAACCCCAGCCCTTCTATAAAAGTATTGAATCCACTGCTGTAAGCCACAGGAAACAACCATTGTATTTTGTGGTCATACTTCTCATTATGCTGAAAATTTAAATTTAAGCAAAGTAACCATCATATTTTTAATTCAAAATACTTATTAAAAGGAAACATTAAAAAATCATATTTTTCAAAAATTTCTCCTATATTACCTAAAGTATATGAATATTTCCATTTTCTGCTATTATAAACAGATAATACATCAGAGTTATTGATGGTAAAATTTAAGTTGTGAAATGTATATTTAAAAAAATTATTTAAATCTTAAAATCATTTAAAGACTAATGTTGCCACTGGGTGGCAGCCCTGGCTTTTCCCACTAAGCAACAGAAGTCAGCAAATATAATTAAGACAATGGTGTATATCTGTTCTTAAAATCTTATAGTTCATATTTTATTATCTTTCTCAGTGCTTTATTAAATTAATTATTAGATAAGTTTAACGGAAATAAAAGTTATTTATGCTTTTTTGGCTGTAAAATCACATGAATATAAATTGAGGAAAACAGTTTAAGAGAGTAGAATGACTAGGTAGTAAACATCCTTTTTAACATTTAATGATGCTTTCTCTTTTTCTACCAACTCTTCATTATGAAAAATGAAGATGAATGCTTAATTTTTAAAAGGAGCAATTTGTATGAACAAATATCAACTATTTATAGCAAATCCCCCACTGAACTGATATTAATAGAGCATGATTTTGAGGAAGTAGCTAGAAGTGGTGTAGCCCTGGAAGCAAGGTACATGTTCCCATGCCATGTAGAGTTCCCAGGTAACACGTGCCAGTAATAGCTATTGTGTGCTCATTATGGGATAGAAGCTTTACTGGGAAGTACTTTGAACTTCATTGTTAATCTTACGACAATGACTTTTTATAAGCATAAATTTTACTTGAAGCAATTTTTTTAGGAATTGGAACAACCTTATAAAACAGCTGCATAGCTAGGTAATAATAGGATTTGTGTTAGGAACCAAGTTTCCTCATCCCCAGACTGGTGGTGTGTGTATCAGAAAGTGCTCTGCGCTACTTTTAGACTAGGAGGAATGTCCTAGGAAAAGTAGTGAAGTTTTCTATCATATAGGAGGTGATTAGTTATCAAATTTAAATGTACCTAACACACATGTAGCCCTGCCCAACCCACTTCTACAAATAACTTCTCCAAAATCTAGGAAGGAGCTTAGTAATAAGAAGAATGGCTATTGCTACTGTAACCCTTATTTGTTTGTAGGTCCTTAGGATTCAGCTGGATATATATGTTCACACATGAACCTAGTGGTATTAAAGACTGTTTCGCAGAAAGCAGGAAGGGTGAGTGCAAATCTATTACCATTACCAGAAGGATAAAAAGGCCTAGCAGTTGAGCGACCTGGGTTGTTAGAATAAGGTCATCCTTATAGATAAATGTCATATGAATTATTTCTAGCTGTAATGCTCTGTCATGTTATCCAAAGGTAACAAAGAAGCAAGATTGCCACTGTCTATGTAGTTCCTTTGTGAAAAGTAGGAAAAGGCACCTTTTTCTCCCAACAGGCCCAACCCCTTCCTATAAAGAAATCCAGAATTTTACCCCCTCGTCTTGACAGAGTGCCTTGTTCAGACTTTAACCAAACATAGTGGCCTTATAGGAGTACTAGTTGACCATACAGTGCTTGAAAGAATTAATGAGGGGCTGCAGGTGTAGCTCAGTGGTAGAGTGCTTGCCTTGCATGTGTGAGGCATTGGTTTTGATCCTCACTTAGCACCACATAACAATAAAGGTATATATAAAAAAGAACGAAGCCTGGGAGAGTGGTGCATACCTGTAGCCTCAGCTACTTGGGAGGCTGAGGCAAGAGAACCTGTGAGCCCACCATGGGCAACATACTAAAATCCCATCTCTAAGGAAAAGAAAGAAAATAGCACTTTTTTTTTTTTTTTAAGTGGGGGGTTTCGGATAAAATTCAACATTTCCTTCTTTAAAATGAGAAGCTGGCAGCACTGTAATTCAATTCCCCTAATAGCAATCAGCTGAAACCCAGTACAGGTGGTCCCCTTATTATTTTTTTAACATATTTTATGTGTTGTTGGACCTTTATTTTTATGTGGTGCTGAGAATCAAACCCAGTGCCTCACACATTAGGCAAGTGCTCTACCATTGAGCCACAACTCCAGACCACCCCCCCCTTATTCTTTTTACTAATATGAATGGTGAAGAAATTCAAATAGTAAAGCCCCTTTCCCTACCTATCTAGTTCAATTTCCAAATTCGGTTACTGTTACTCTTCATTTTTTCTGTTTCTTGAAGAGTTTGAGACTTGGGATCCTGAAATTTTCATTTTTTAGAAACACTTCTGCATTGTCCAATAAATTTGTGTAGCATTACTCATGCTTTGACTTTTTCCATTTTAAATACTTTGCTAGAAGATAAGAGTTCTTTGCATTTTTCTAAATTTAAATATCATATACATAATATTTAAATTTAGAAAAAATATTTTTAATATATATTTCTAAATATTTATTTAGAAAAAAAGTATTTATTATATGGCAGTACTGGGGAGTGAACCTTGGGCCTTGTGTATGCTGTCATTTTTTCTTAAAGGGATATTCAATATAGGGTAGATGATATCATCATTTTATGTTCTGGACAGCATCTGGTGTACTTTTAAAACATCAAATTATTGATTCTGGGGGAAAACATTATTAGCTTTTGTTGCAAGGTAGGAAGTATTGGCTTGCTCCTCTCCTGATAAGGTGATTTTGTTGGTGTTTAAAAGTTCATGTGACTCACCTTTGCTATATTCTAAAAAATTGACAGACAAGCAAAATATGTACGCTCCACACCCTAATTTCTTGCTGTTACATGATCTAAACCAGCTAAATGAGGAATTGTATATTTCTGGTTAACTTTTCTGTTTCTCTTTTGAACTAAAAGTATACACAATTTGCTAAGACTTGTTTAATGAGTAGAACCTACGCTGTGCTTGGCAGATTTTGAAGAATAGGAGGAGGCATTTCAGTTGCCCTGTTTTATATCAGTGTATTTTTGAGAATGTTTGCTGGGTAGAGCACTTTCATCACATCAGATATTTCGGAATTGGTCTGATGCCTACAGTGGTCTACATAAATATTTATCTGCTAGACTGGCTGATTTTTATGTGTTTGCTCTCAAAATTACTTAAAGCGCAGGTAAAACTTATTCTTTTGAAATAATGTTAACAAATTTTATATATTTTAACTAAAATGTCACAATACTCAATTTCCTCCTTCCATGTTTTCTTGTACCTCTTGGAATGATGACTTTCAGATTGGAAAACAAACATTTTAAGTAGACCTTTTAAAGTAGATGTCTTAAGATGTTTAGTTGCTTTACATAATCTTTTGGGCTCAGATAATTTACATCATAGACTATGGAGAAATTTTGGCGGATAGCCTTGGAAAATTTTGGAGATAAAAGGGTGATTCCAGAAAATGACTATTAAGAATTGTCCACTTAAATATAGACTAAAACACAGGAATAGTTATAAAATTGATGTTTTTTAGCACTTCTGGAGGAAATTAATAACCCCTGAATGAGCTTGACTTCTCTAGAGTAAATGATGTTAAACAAACTGGTTTTGATGTTTTCTAGTCTAGAGTAAGGGGGCTATTATAGATAATAAATGGTAATTTCACCAAGGCTTATGATAATCACTTGGTGTAAAGATGAGAAAACAGTATTTCTGAACTGTTGGACTCAATGTCTCACATATTGAGGGCGCAGTCCCTAGCCCACAGGGCTATTGGGAGATGGTGGACCTAGTGGAAAGAAGTTAGGTCATTGGAGGCATCCCTCAGATGGGCTATCTATGTGTATATTATTGCATGTGTGTATGTTTAAATAACTTCAGAGATACTATCCATCCAACTAACTCACCTTAAGTATTTGATTGTTCAGCTGCCAGGCTAGTCTCACCTAGCAAAATAGTTGTGAAGAAAATGGACAGCGCTTTCATAAAACTTATGTTTCAATGATGCAGTGCTTAATGGAGTAGAGCTCTGAATTAAAAATAGAACAGGTTGATGAGGTTGTAGAGTTAAGATTGAGGTTGTTAATGTGTACAAGATGATCAAAGGAGGTCTCATAAAACTGACCCTTGAGCATATTGTGTGCTCTGTTTAACAGAAGGATTAACCAGTGATGAGTGAAATAGAGCAATAGCAACTATTATCATCATGATTTATAGGTCACTATTTCTGGTTTTAAAAATTTTAAATTGATTAAAATGGCATTTTAAAATTTAAATTTGGAAATTTTAATCAAAAAGGGATTCTCTGAATAAACCCTTATTCACCATCTTAAGAGGAGTTGGGGGGATACTATAGACAAAATAAATTTAAAGGAGGGCAGTTTTAGATGTAGGGTTTTACTTGATCACATCCTGAGGGAAGAATTGAAGTCAAGGGAAATTAAATTCTTGGTGGCTGGACAGTAAATATTAGGGAAATTGAAAAACTAGAAGTATGTTCAGATGAGGTTAAAAAAAAAAAAAGATGCAAGAGTTCTGAATTGGAACTGGAAAATGGTGTAGAAATTACACCTGGAGGGGCTGGGATTGTGGCTCACTGGTAGCTCGCCTAGCATGTGTGAGGCCTTGGATGGATGCAAGAGTTCTGAATTGGAGCTGGAAAATGGTGTAGAAATTACACCTGGAGGGGCTGGGATTGTGGCTCACTGGTAGCTCGCCTAGCATGTGTGAGGACTTGGGTTTGATCCTCAGCACCACCTAAAAATAAAGATGTTATGTCCAAGTACAACTAAAAATAATAAATATTTTTAAAAAACAAAAGAAATTATACCTGGAACAGACTTCTAGGGAATTTTAAGAGTCTGGACAAAGGAATTTCACTATTTAAATTTCCTATATTACTTCCAGAAGAAAGAAAAACCATTGAGGAGTCGTTACAACTACAGGATATGTGTGCTAAAATAGGACCTAAATATTTAGGAATCTTGGTGTGGGGGGAGGAACTATTCTATGGTAGGCAGGGTAAGGGAAGTTTATAGGAATGGAGTAATTAACCATGTGGTCTGTGCCTTGGCACCAAGGCCTGGCCTGGCCTGGACAGCTCTAAGAATATGTAACTCCAGTTTTGTATCGTAGGTATTTTCATTCTAATCCTTCCCCTATGCAGGGCACTGGGAGTTTACAAGTCTCTTTGGCCATTAAGTTTTCCTTCCTCCCCCTCAGCCTCTTTTCCTTTCCAGAAAAACCTTTTACCTGCTTGCTTTTCCTTCCATAATTAATTTTCAAAAATTTAAGTGGCAAATAGTTTATTAGGAAACAAGTCCATTTCTCGACTGTACCTGCTTATGATAAGAAATCAGTCTATTCTTCCAGCAGATATCTTAAACATGGATGATTCTCCAGCTCTGTGGAAGACAGTGCTTGTCAAGAGCATGGCAGTGCTGGGCAGGGTTGTCTTGGAAGGGACCCATGCCCAAGTAGAACCAACTATCCATCTTAAAATCTACAAGTTCGGTGAACACAACATTGATGACTTAACCTCTTTTTAAAAATTTTATTTTTTGTGGCACTGGAGTACCTTTCCTTTTCTTATCCTTCTCTAATTCAGTGTGTTTTCCTCTCAACTGTTCCATCCTTGCACTTTGCTCATGTCATTCTCCCACATTTTTTCCCTATCAGTACACCTAGATGGGTATATTCTTGGAGCACTGTATTGAAGCCTGTCTACGAAACTTTGCTAAGTAGACTCTTGCCTCACTCACTAAACTGTGCCCCTCAGACACATTGAGAGCACTCCTTTGTTGTTAAGGTGAATGAAAAGTACTTGGGAGTTTGGCGGACTTCAATTGGATTTCCTGTCTGCATCCCCCACTAGCTTTGTGATCTCTAATAAGCCAATTTCTCTGAACCCAGTGTCTTGAGACTCAAACCTTACCTTAAGTCTGTTGTGTAATGGGAAATGTGAATAATGTATGGGAAGTACTTAGGACAATTCCTGGTAGATAGTAGATATCTAGTACACATTCACTTATATTGCTAAGTTTTTTTTTTTTTTCCTGGATTTAAAAAAGAAATCAGGGAACCAGAACTGGGAGAATAAAGATTGGAGACAGGTGTTGAGGCCGTGTATGAAGCATATACAAAGCACTCCAAGTTGGGATGTGCTCATACCCAAAGGTAAGACGGAACAGGATCAGATGCTGGAAGAGCCATGAAGGATTGTGTAAGATGTCAGTAACCAGAGGTCAGGGCCAAGATATGGTGACCACTGACAGTGCTGGAATCATGCACCAAATGTTCTTGATCATGGTGCAGTTAAAAAAGAAAAAAAAGAATTCAGCTAGTATTGTACACCCTTCTACCAAGTCCTGTTCTAAATTACTATCTCATTTAGTCCTCAAAATGGTCCTATGAGTTAGGTGCCACTATAATTGTTCCCAATCTAGAGATGAGAATACTAAGGCAGATAGTTGAAATGACTTGCCTAAAGCAGCATAAGTAGAGGAGCCTGGATGGCAACTTAGGTATTCTGGCTCTGGAGCCCATGCTTTTCACAACTTCCTGGTAAATATCTCCAACCAGAGAGATTGCTGTTCCAGAGGTAAACCCAAAGAGAAGCAGCCAGCAAAGGGCCAGCCAATCAGAGTCCTTAATGTATGCTTATTAACATCAAATGATGGAACATACTACTTGTGAAGGCCTATTCTGTTCCCCGCATTGTGCCAATGGATTTTGTCTGCATTCTTTTATATGCCCCATCACTATTATACAAGCCATTATTGTACTTATAAATGAAAAGAAAAAAATGGGGCTTATGGAATTTTGTTTTTCTATTTTGTATCAAAAGAGAGCTACTATATCTGTTCCTCAACCCATCTAGCTTCTGATCCAAGGCCTCCACTGAAACACCTCTTGCTAAATCCAGGGGACACTTTCTGATGTTCAGCTCACTGGTCCTCTCTTCTGTACTGTGCTGTGATAGCCACTTCATCTTTCATTGCTTCCAGACCACAGTTTTTTCTAGGACCATTTCTCTGACCCGCTCCCCTGCCCCAACCCATTTCCCTATTTCTTTTTCTTGCCCTGGTCTGTAAATGTGGGTCTTCTTCAGGAGCACATTCACAGCCCTTCTGAATCTACATTTTCCTTGGATGATCTTACCCACTACCAATGAAATGCCAGAGGCAGGGGAGACGCTACCATACCCTTGACACCCATCAGCTTGATTTGGAAGTTTTTTGTTTTATACAAGGTCTTCTGTATCACCCAGGCTGGTCTTGAACTCATGGGCTCAAGCCATCCTTCCATCTCAGCCTCCCTGAGTAGCTCTGACCATAGGTATGCACCACTGTGCCTAGCTTACCTATCACCTTGAGACAAAGATTAGAGACTTCTGCCCATATAAGCATCTCAAATTCAAGTGTATCAGGTTAAACACATGCAAACTTTTCTTGCACCAACTCAACCCTGCCTGCCCTGACCCCACCCCACTCTGCTCCTCTGTTGTTGTAGTTGAGGTGCTGACATCCACCCAGTTACCCAAACACAGAACCTGTAAGTCATGTTTGACTTTGCTTCTGTGGCCCTCACAATCCTCTCAAATATCTAGGAGCTGAAATTCAATTTCCTGAAATTCTACCTCCTTTGAATTTGCTCACTTCTCTCCACAGACAAGAGAGACCTAATGTCGGCCATCTCTCATCTAGGTGACTGATAGCCTTGGTCCTCCAATCTGGCCTCCTTCACTGCTTTCTCCACCCTAGTCAGAAACTTTAGGAGTTCAAATATAGAGAATATTATGGCCAGATTTGAGCGTTCAACCCTTTCTTTGACCTTTACTATTCTCAGGATAAACTCAAAGCCCCTCAACAAGACATGGAAAGCTCTCTGGAATTCTGTTTCAGTCTTTGAGAACTATTTTTCTTGGGACTCCAACTTTGTTCTCCATTTGCACCAATTTTCTTCCAGTTTCCTAGTCACAGTGCCTGGCTGTTTTTCTGGGGGTTTTTGTTTGGTTTTGGTTTTCCCTCCCAAAGTTTAATAACCTCAAAGTCACCTCCTTCAGGGGGCCTTCTGTGATCCACAGACTGGATTAGATCTTTCTCTGTAGTGCTCCTACATTCCTTATGAATATTTCTGTCACTGAATTTTCATTATTGATTTATAATTATTTGCTTGGGCATTGTCACTATTTGGGAGGTTCTTGTTGAAGGCAGGACCTATTGAATTCTCAGGATCTAGCACGTGAAAGGCCCTCAGTGGATGCTTTTGTTGAATGAATCTGAATGACTTTCCCGAGGTTAAATTGCAAAGATCTTGTGAAACTTCTACTGTAAAACTCATGTTTATTCCACTACGGTATTTGCACATTAGGGTGTTTAAACTCATTGAAGAGTTAAGACTCTGTTAAAAGGTTTTCCTTCTTTCAAAATTGATTTTACTTTTTCAATAATCTATTCACATGATTCACTCATCAAAAGGTATAGTACTCAGTAAAGAGTCTTGTTCCCATTTTTTGCCTCCAACTTCCTACTTCCCAAAATAGCCCTATGAGTTAGGTGCCACTTCTGTGGCCCCTCTGCCTTGAGGTAACCAATCTTGTCAATTTCTTATATCTCTTTCTAGAATTTTGCAAATGTATGTAAATATGAAATTTTATATTCTTTTTTGCCTTTAAAAAGGTATTGATTTTTTTTAACTTCCCTATTTTTTTCTGAGGTGAGTATTAGCAAAAAGTGCTAATCAGTACCCAGCTTGAATGAAGTCATAGGAAGGGAGACTTGGAAGAAGACAGCTATTGGATGAGGGGAGAAGAAAATCCTGCCTACTTACTGACCTCTTGGGACACGCAGGGGCCTCCAAGACAGAGCCTGTGGTCCAGATAACTCCCCCAGGCAGATTCTCAAGCTCCTTAAGAGTTACCTTGTCTTTGGAACTCTCTTAGGCCACTCCCCTTGATGCAATATCTGGGTTTGGGCAGAAAGGAGGGTGCTGGAGAGCCCGCCCCTTCTGAGCTGTTTGGACCAGCTCCTCTTTTTCAGAACAATTCAGGCTTCACTGTGACTCAGACCTCGGCTCAAATCTCTGCTCAGAAGCAAGATGGCTGAGATGGACAGAATGCTTCACTCTGGAAGGAAAAGGCATTCCAGGTCAAATTAACCCCTTCACTAGGGTTCTAGAAGGAATCTGGACAAGTTTTATCATGTGGTTTTTCTACGCCTTGATTCCATGTTTGTTCACAGGTAAGTATGAATTAAAATACATCTGGTTGTTTGGGCCTTGGATTAAGAAGGTGAAAAATACTTTCCCAGGGTTTGGGGTTGCAATACCTGTATAGAACATCTTATGTCTGTTTTTAAAAAGGTTTCTCACCTCTTACATCAGCATCCCCACATCTCAAAGAAAAGTCCTGCACTATGTTTGGAAACCTCTCTCCTAAGTGTCTGCAGAACTATCTAGAAAGACCTCATTAAAATAGTCTAAAAGCTGGCATAGCTCTGTGCATTTTGCTTTTTATCTCATTACCTGGTATTACAAGGTGCAGTGGAATTCTCAGTCTATTTATCTATGCTGTTTAAAGTAACATATTTAAGGATTCTAACAAAACACATGAATAGACAATTTGAGAACTTAAATTTGGGGTACAAGCCTTATAAAAATTGGATAAGGTATTCTATAGCATTTTAGAAAATATTTGGGGAATTTTCTCTTACAGTACTATTACAACATTTTCTCTACTCCACTCCTGGTTGCATGTATGTACCTGCTTTATTGGTCCAAAAACTGCTTTATTGGTCCTTAGCTGTTGGTATTTCTCCATGTCAAACTGCATTTAAGAGAAATTTTTAATTTTAATACCAGTCACTTTGTGATGTCAGTGGGAGTCTCAAGTTAGTTGGTTGGTTTGGTTTGTTTCTTTCAACACAGAACTAATATTCTAGTTTATTTAAATCAGGCAATAAATCAGGCAATGTTTAGAATTGGTTTAAACATCCAACTTAGTGTTCCTTCCTATTCCCAAATCCTTCACAGCTCTCAGTTGCACAGCACAGGACGTCCAAATTTTGCATGTCCATTTCTCATAACACAGTACATTCAGACCCCATCCTGTATTTATTTGATTCTCATTCTCCTTGAAAACATGCGGATTGCAGGCAGGTGCTGTCTTTACAGTCAGTACATTCTATCTGATTTCCTCTTCCTGGTCTTTATATATAATTTCCCACCAGAAGCACTACCTCCAGTTCCTTTCCCCATCCCAAGTCCATGTTCCCATCATCATTCCAGGCAGATCCTTCTCCCTGCAGACATTTCCCAGAACTCTATCCTTTGGCACTTGACTCCATGTGCTCTAGCTTCGTTGGGTTGCTTTGCTTTTCAACACAGAAGAACCTGTTTGTCTTTTCTGGTGTCCCCCAAACTCCTAGCACAGGTCAAGTATGTTGGTTGTTTGGTAAGTTAGTTGTTTGATTGTTTAATTTTGGGAACAAAAAAGTTGCCAAAGGCAGAAGATGGGAGGCCAAATGACAATCAGAAAGGTTAGCATTTTTTAACCTGACATTTTCTTCATTGAATTCAGTCTTTTGAGGCTTTTCTTAAACACTCCTGTTTCAAACAGACCTGGGGGTAAGTGCTTTCTTCTGACACTTACAGACTTACAGATAAACAAAAAGAAAACGGTGGTAGAAACCAAAAGATGTCAGAGTCAAAAAGACTTAAAAGTGTGAATTTTTGCTTTATCACTCCCTTGTTCAGTGACAAGATCATATAACTTTAGTTTTCTCACATGTGAAGTGGTTATCACAGTCACCTTGAAGTGTGGAGGAGTTAACTAAAATGATGCAAACAAAATCACTTTGAAGACTTCGATGATGGTGCAAACAGATGGTGGTGTCAGCAGATAAGTGCAGGTTGCTTTTTTGCAATTTTGACCACTTCCTCTGGATTGTGTAGGTGCCTGTGAGGAATTCTGCAAATTCTAAATGAACTTCTGTTGGTAACTAGATCACTGAACAGATGGGTAGTTTTGTTGCTTTCTTTCATAGAAATCATTTGCCTTGCTTTGTTCCTTCCAATAAGAGTATTGTATTTAGGAAACTGATTCTTCCTTCAAATAATAATCACATTAATGACAGTGACAATCACAATTGCTATTTCTGTGCTCCAGTTTAGTAGAAAATATACTCTTGACTTCTCACATCAATCCTGCAAGGCAGTTGTTATTTCCCACATTTTACACACTAGGAAACGGACTTGGAAACCTTCAATTATTTGTCCAAGTACAAACATTCTAGGAAGAGGGGGAATTGGGATTTGGTTCTGGTTTCACTAGCTCCAGAGGCCCTTTGTGTTTCTGTGCAGAAAAAACTGAGACATTGACACAGGCCCACAAAAGGGAGGAGGAACAAAGTAGAGGAAACAGTAGTGCTTTTTCTGATGCATTTGACTTGAAGGTTATTTAAGGAAAAGAATGGTGGAAGAGGACTCAAATGAAGGCAGTTGACATCAGACCCAGCTGGGTCTCTTACAGGGAAGAGATGCTGATTTCTGCCTAGAAAGTTTGCCCACAGTTCATGGTGTGCAGCCTTCATGCTCCCTTCTTTTTTGTGACTTAAGATTTTAGGATAGAGGTGTTCAGCATAAACCTTAGAGCAGCAGAAAGGACTAATTTAAGATGGATGAGAGATTAGGGGGAAAAAAAAAAGTAAGACATAAGCTGTTTCCCAAGGAAGTCAAGACTTGCTTCAGTTCTGTTTTTATTCAGAGCACCAGATTCCGAGCTGGGTGCTGATTAGCAGAGAGATGAAAAAACAACAACAACAACAACAAAACAGTCCTTTGTTTTCAGATAACTGAAGTCCGTGACATCTAGAGTTGAAATGTAGTATTAATTATTCTTTTGGCAACCAGAAATAAGGTCTAGATCAGTGGGTCCCAATCTTGAATGAACATTGAAATCACCTGGAGAGCTTTTTACAGCCAGAGATTCTGAACTAATTTAGGATGTTGCTGGGGGCATTGGGGTTTTTCAAAACTTCCTGGATGGGGCTCTTTAAGAGAAGTGGTTGATTACAGGGCTGGGCAGGGAGAATACAAGACGAGACAGGAGTGTCCTGTGGTAAGTAATGAAGGGCTCTGAAGAGGACAGGGGAGGTAAATTCAACACCACATGCTGGATTGAATCCTGGAATGGAAAAAGACATTAGTGGAAAAATTTGAAAAACCTAAATAAAGTCCGGAGTTAAGTTACAGTAACACACCAACACTGGTTCCTTAGTTTTGGTAAACGAGTCATGGTTGGATAAAATGTTGGCATGGTGGAAGCAGAGTGATGGGTATATGAGAACTCTGTGTACTGTCCTTGCATCTTTTTTTCTGTAGATATAAAATTATTTTTTAAAAAAGTCTATTAATAATAATTACATGAAAAGGGGTGAAGAATAGAGATAAGTCAAATGGACACAGGAGTCAAGCTGAAAGAGTCCCTGGTGTCCAAAGTTGGAACAATTTGAATAATAAAATAATAGCAATGTATTGGTTTTAATCAAAGAATAAAATAAATATGAATCCATATTGGTAGAAATAAATAATTGAATAGATAAACAGTGGAGAACACTCTTTCTACCAAATTCCAATTAAATGAAAAAAATCACTATTAGTACATAATAACAGTACTTGTTGTAAGAACTCTCCACCAATAGATGCAAAATTAATGTGTGGAAGTTTGAAGAGAAACAGAATATTTACATAGTCTCAAAGCATCTCCCCTAAGGTGCTAATTAACACTAAAGGGGAAATTGATAGCTTTACTGTGGAGACATTGTCTTAACAAAGTGATCAAGATTAACATTACTGGTAAAAAAACATACCGACATCATGTGCTCCCTGTGAGGACATGGCAAAAGTATAACCTCAGTCAAATCATGTGAAAGCATCAGACAAACCCCAACTGAGAGACAGTCTGCAAAACAGCTGACCAGTACTCTTCAAAAATGTCAAGGTCGTAAAAGACAAAGACACACTGAGAACAGATTGGAAGAGACTAACTATTTGTGACAACTGAATGGGGAGTCCTGGACTGGTTCCTAGGGGCAGGGCAAAGAGCCTTAGGGGAACTAGTGAAATGTGAATAAAGACTGAAGCTTAGTTAATCATATTCATCAACATTAATATCTCAGTTTTCAAAATTGAACTACAGTCATGGACCCATGGATGCCTGAGTGAAAGGTGTGTGGGAGCTCACCGCTATTTTATAATTCCTCTGAAAGTCTGAAGTATTTCAAAATACAACTAATTTTCACCATTTTACTGGGCTAAGATCAGATTTTGGCAGGACTGTGTTCCTTCTGGAGGCTCTTGGGGAGGATCTATTTCCTTGCTGTTCCTAGCTTCTAGTGGCCACTTGTGTTCCTTGCACACGGCCCCCTTCCATGGTTTGTATGTACCACCATTTGTTTAACCATTCACCTATTGAAGGACCTCTGGGCTGATTCCAGTTTGACTATGCACGTTCATGTGCAGGATTTATATTATGAAAATTTTCATTTCCCTAGGATAAACACCTAAGAGTGCAATTGCTAGGTCGGACAGTAATTGCATGTTTAGTTTTACAAGAAACAGCCCATTTTCTAGAGTGAAGGTACTATTTTACATTCTTACCAGTAATGTCTGAGGGATCTACTTTTTCTGTCTCCTTGCCAGCTTTTGGTTTTGTTATTTTAAAAATTTTTGCCAGCCAGGCGTGGTGGCATACGCCTATAATCCCAGCAGCTTGAGAGGCTGAGGCAGAAGGATCATTAGTTCAAAGCCAGCCTCAGCAACTTAGTGAGGCCCTAAGTAACTCAATGAGACTCCATCTCTTAAAAAAAACACAAAAAAGGACTGGGGATGTGGCTCAGTGGTTGAGTACCCCTGGATTCATTCCCTAGTGACAAAAAAAAAATTGCCATTCTGATAGTTGTATACACTGCTATCTCATTGTAGTGTTATTTTGTTTTTTCTATAATAGCTAAATATGCAATATTTTTTTCACGTGCCTATTTGCATGTGATAAATCACCTTTGGTGAAATGCCTCTTTGTACCTTTTGCCCATTTTTTAATTGGATTATTAGAATTTTTTTTTGCAGGTTTTTTCCCTCACCTAAGCAGCTTTATATTATTTATTTATTTAAATTAGGTATATATGACAGCAGAATGCATTTTGATTCATTGTACACAGTTGCAGCACAACTTTTCATTTCT